GTGTTTTATTGCATGAGAATGTGTTAGAGTTTTGCAAAAGGAAAGACGGAGATCTGCAGATAGTGTTTTACTAGGTGAAGATAGTTTATGGTTTTGTCAAAATGATGCTCAATTTAGTGAATGAGTTTAGACAACTGAGCAACTGATTCACACAACAGAAATTTGTGTTTTAGCAATTCAGAAAAACTGTAATACCAATGCTCTATCAGTGGCAAGTGAGATTTTCAAAAGGACAGAGTCACAATCTTCTACTGGAGTTCTGTGTTAATGGAGGAGGCTACTGACTTTAGCATCCAGAGGATCTGTTTTCGTGCACAACAAAATAAAAAGTATCTGAGTCACCTCTACAGAAATCTTTACACGATCTTCACATCAGTAACATACATGCAGATGAATATTGCTGAAATAAGACGACACAAGATGATCTTCCTTTTATAGGAAAATTTTAATAGTTATTCAATGTTCTACATTTTACAGTAAATATACAATTACAAACTTGGCTTAGTTATAGTACTAAGATCACTAACTGATCTTAAAAAAAAAACCCTCAACAACAAAAAAACATAAAGAAAAAAACAAATTAAAAACAGATTTACACTTCATATCACAAGCCTGACGCAGGTCCTTCACTCTGGACCAAATAGCTAACATACAATTCACTTCTCTCAACGCTGAACAGACGTTGGGCTTCAGTTTCGAACACAACCTTACGGTAACAGATATACCATAGCATGTGCAAACTGGGTACCAAACTAAAACTTCCAAAGATGGGGTTGTTCCTAATACTCGATCCAGGGCGGATACAAGTATGTTTCATTTTTTTTTTTTTTTGGAAGACAAGGAATTTCCACTTTTTGCATCACATTTAGTGTCAAATTAAACTTGAAACTGACAAATCGAAATGAAAAAAAGCTGCAGCAGAACATCAACAACATTTAAGAGCCTACTATTCACTGAGATAGTAGTGTTTTAATTTATACTGATGAAAAAAAAAAGAGAATAACTAAGACTTAGCAACTGCAAGGCAAAAAAGAAGGGAGAGAGATAGGGGATGGAAGGAAAGTAGAGTTGTAAATGTTTCTGGATGCGTTTTCACCATCAAGGTGAAGAAGCGCAACATAAAAACAGACTGGAATAAAATGAGTATTCCCAATCAAAAATTACCACCTTTAATGTTAGGAAATGAGAGAATGAGAATTAAAACGATAAAGACTTGCAATTAAGACAACTTTGCATTTCCCCCCCTGAAAACACACCAGAGTGTTTAATTGTTTTCACTTAAGTGCAAATTAAAACTTAAGAGGCGAGGAGTGGAGTGAAATAAGGAAGCAGTTTCACCACCCAGAAAAAAGAGAACCTGCACCTTAGGGAGACACTTACAAATTCGACTCTCCCAGAAAGCTCTGCAGAGTCTGCCTCTCTACTGAGCCGCCACATTAAAACAGTGTTAGTTTTTAAAGAGCGTTGGTCCACAGCCTAGAAAAAAAAAACCTTCTCTTATTATCATGCTAAGTCAAAATAAATCAACTTCTCCTGTAAGAATGACAAATAAAAACTTATTTGGCATCTATTTGTCCTCCAAATGGCATTTCTGAAGGGAAAAGAAACATTTAACTTAGATAAGTCCGCCCTCCAAATAAACTATCTCAATGTGACACTAAATTGTGAATTTAAAATGTGAATGACTGATAAATCACTTCCTTTATCATTCAAAGCCTCAAACTATGGTGACGCCACTTCTAGACTTTGTTACCAGTGACACCTAGTGTTCAAAAAGACTCAGTAAGAACAGCCATTTAACGACCATTGTATAATTCAGTATAACTGTTATTTAGATGGGGGTGGTGAGGGCTACAAAGGTCAGACTGAGACACAAAGGGGTCAGAAACATGAGAGCAGAGGGTTGAAGGAAAAGACGGGACGCAGCAGAATAGATGACATTTTGCATCCCCAAATGAGGCATAAATGAAATGAGTGTTTGACGGGATGCTTAATGGCCTCTGAAGAGGAGTTTGTGGCACAAAGTGGAAACAAGATTAGCAGAGTAAGAAAGAGAAAAGTGAGACAGGCAATATGCATCAACGTGAGAAACAGGAAGAGCAACAGGAAAACACATTCACAGGAAGCGGGACATAAAAAGGACTCAGATTTAACCAGTTTACTGAGGAGGAGAAACTAATATTTACTGAAGAAGTGTTGGTGAAATATGGCACAGAACAAAGGGCATGAAGGCTGAGGCTTTCTGAGACAACGTTCCATTCATCTTTGTAGTAGCAGAACTTAGACAGCGAGGAACACCAAGGATGTCATGGTTACCCCTTCTCACCCAGCCAAAAATAATGCGATCCATTTCTGTTGTCGTTCATCCTTACTTCGTCAAAGTCTGAAAATCCATCATAAAATCTGGTGACAAGAATCTCAACAAGGCCCAACTTTATTTACAGACCTTGTGTTAAATATCAGAGATTTTGACAACTTATACTTGTTTTATTACGAGAATAAAGTTGTAATATTACAAAAGCAGTCGTAATTTTAGGTTGTGTGTCAAGTTAGATGGTGAATATCAGAAGATCAGCCCGCTTCATAGTTTCTCAAGAATCAATGAGATTCGTTCACGATTTTGGATCCAGGAGAGGAACTTCAGCAAACACTGGTTCAAATTGCTGCTTATTTCCTTTATTGTGACTTTTCCTCATTAAATTACGACTTTATTCTTGTAATATTATGGGCAATTTTCTTCGTATGGCCCTTATACCCCATCCTAAATACTCCCCTCACCACAGTGACAGATATGTAGAGGACAGAGATGCAGAAGAGGTAAAAAAAAAAAATATGTAAAAGCACAAACAGTAGCTGCCACACTGATGCAACCATGCTTAGCTAGAAATACATTACTGTACCACTTGCTGTATAAATATACTGCATTTTTTTTTTTAAACTTAGAGATCCAATGCTATAGTTAAATACACCTGAATATTATGCATACCCAATATGCTTAGTTGACCAGAGGGAAATAAGAAAAAAGCTAAATAACGTAAAAAAACAAAACAAATTGAGAAATACTGACAGAAGTAGTGGTTAGTTAAATAAATCCTAATGACAAGTAATATTACTGCTGTCGCAAGAAAATCCAGTTCTGTATTTTCTCTGATCCATACATGGTGGGAATGTTTGATGACCCTTGTGTCAATAACAACCACTTCATGTCTTCTAAAATACAGGGGTCATTTATTAAAAATAAGGTTTTTTATCCGACAGCAACATTATGAGTATTTTCTTGAGAATTAACCTACTAGTGTACAAACATCTGGACTAAGAATACCTCAAAACACTCGATCTTATTGGTTTATATTTTAAAATTACAATATAAATTGCTTCTTCCTCCCATTTGCACTACATAGCCTAGGTACCTGTTACTTAGCATTAAATTGTATTCATGGTTCTCTTATGTTGTGCAATATTCCTCACAAATTATTCAATATCCCACATTTCTGATATGTTCTACTCTTCTTAGCAGTTAAGTGTAATAATTATTGAATGGAGGCCGCGTACAGAGCCTGTGATCCATATTTAGAGACTACAACAATAAGCATTTTATTCAAAAATCAATTCAAAACGCTGATAAAATAATTACTGTGTTAAACAGCTGGAGGCATTCCCTCTTGTTTTATTGCAATATCAAACCACTTCATCTACATACCAGCACAGTAAATGCTTTTGCTAAAAAACCTGTACTATACAGAAGTTGTGATTTGATCTTTTTTCTTTTATACTTTTTTTGGTTCATTTTTTTTTAAAATGCCACAGGCCTTAACTTATTATCAAACCCCACCACAACCACAACCCCGCACCCTAAATGTCCTCCAGCCAAGGACCAATAAACAAGACTCAGTGATTCATCATCATACTTTGGATGTAAACACCTTTGCGCTTACAAACCCAGCTGTATATGATCCAGGTCTCACTGGCTGTAATATTGTCCCCATGAAATGACTTTTATTAAAATAAAGGTTTTTGTTGAAAAAAATGAAGAACAATGTTGAAATGCAGTCAGTAAAACCAAATATGTGTAAATCTCTGACTCCGGCAAAATTAACCCAGTAAGCAACTGGATCTGTTTTGCCCATAATACTGCTTAAAGTCTAAAAGTCTCTTACTGGCCCCTTGATGGTCATGAAGCTCTTTACCTCCTGTCAAAAGAAGTGAAGTAGGTTAAAATGAGGTGAGAGAGACGCTGAGTCGTCACAATTTCAAGCTCCTGCAGTCCATTTTTTCTTGATCACCAACAGAGTTAAAATTTTGACTCAAATTCTGAGAATTACAAGCTGCTAATGCAACACAGACCAGGTGTATACAGCCTCCTGACTTCCTAATGTAGCACGCGACCCAGCAAAGTCCTTTGTTTGGCCTTTTCAGCGCTCACAGCACTGAGAAAACAGACTTGTGGATTGAATCCATACATCAGCACATCGATTTCAATGGTCCATCATAAATTGAATAATCTGGCTTTTCTGTTTGGTTATAAGTCTTGGTCTGGAATCGAGGAGGAGAGGAGACAAACTGATTACAGGGAAGAATCAATGTACAATACATGTAGTGCAAAAATAGCAGAATGTGAGTGCAGTTTCTTGCAAGTGAGATGTCACCAACTTAAATGTCTTGTACTTTGAAATGAAACGACTGACTGTAACGTCACCTGCTCCTCCTCCTCCTCCCATTGTTATCTGCTCCCCAGTTTCCTCCTGCTCTCATCGCCTGGTGCCAACACAATCCCTTTAAACTCCTTCTCTGCTGGCTGTGTCTGCAATGCTCACCCCTAGAAACCCATGTGTATGCATGTTTGCTTGTGTTGAACTGGTAGTTTGGTAGTTACTGTACAGTAAGTGCCACTAAGTGATCATGTGTTTTCCAACACACCGCAGGAGTCTGTGTGTGTGTGTGTGTGTGTGTGTGTGTGTG